AATAGAAAAGAAGAGCAACATACCGGTGTACGACGACAGTTGATGATATGCGATCCGGCGAGCAATTCTGATGGCCTTTGGCGACTGGTGTGCAGTGGGTTTGCTGCTTCGGATTCGCAGGTCTGCGGTCTGAGCTTGATGGTCGTGACAGTTTTGTCAGAAGAGGTTGGAGCGACATGGAGGAAAAACAGCTGCGGCAGTATAGATCATAGAAATGCTCGCAAACTGAATTTCGTAGCGATTGTGGTGGTGCAATAACGAAAACAAGCGGAAAGGGATCCAGATCTTCTTCCTTCTTCTCCCTATTTTCCTGCACAACAAACAACCAGGACTACAACAAACATTTTTTCAGATTTTGTTTTGAATTCTCCTTCATGGTGGATTGTAGTTACTATTGTGTGTTTTATTAGGAAAAAGTTATATTTACAATGATAAAGAAAATGTGAAGTTAAGAGATGATGAAAATTTGTTTTGGTTGAGAGAAAAAAGACAGAATAGAATTTGAATATTTCTGGACTTAAAAATAGATGAAGTGAATCTGTGTGTACAATGATTTATAATTTTTGTTTATCTACATGGTAGTGGTGTAAATTAGAGGTTTCTTTTCTCGGTAAAAAAAGGGAAATTGCAGATCAAAATATAATGATAAAATTAAATGATTTGATGATAATAATAACTGTTCTGGACTGGGCCGAGCTGGCCCAAAAGCAATGGTGAAGGTCCAATCCAAACGGTCTTGCAAGGAGTCACGCCGACCAAGGGGCCACAGCCGTGCCCGACACTCTATGCTAGTGCGACATCCTCGACTCCATGCTATCCTGCTCGACCTCAGCTCGAGCAATCCTCCTAGAGCAGACTCTGTCCACTACACCGTCACCCTGGATCCCGAAAAGACCGCGTCCTCGTCCGTCCGTACTTCACGCAGAACATCCAGGAAGGAGACCACGTGCGGGTCTCCACTACACACGTAGAACCTGGCAGTTCCTCCATTGGGCCAAACCTGCCCGGCCCAATGAAGGAACCTTGGCCCAGCGCTGGGGGCTATAAATACCCTCTGTTCCCAGAGGGTCAGGTATTCATTCTTTTACCCATACTCAAACTTTTGCCTGCTCGTACTCTCACTTACTTTAGCATCGGAGTGCCTTGCAGGTACCCCCCATCTCGTTCAAACTTCAGCTCGGAGCCAGTCGTGATGGTCCAAGTCTGATCCGGTAAGATCAGTGGCGCCGTCTGTGGGAAACTAGCTTCCCCATCTTTCCCCTTTAATGAAGGGAATTCTTTACCTATTAGATTTGGGTGATTGAATTTATACTCAATGATATAGGATGCCTCGTACTCTTTAGTTGCTTTCAAGGCTCAATCTTGGGTGTTTCATGAACATATATTAAGAGACAATGGAATATTGACATGGACTTTGATTTTGACAAAGCTTTGGATGCTCTTAGTGGTATGATTCCATATTTTGACCTTAGTAGTTTTATTAGAAAAGACATCGCCCTACATATTTTGGCAATTGACCTTTAAGTAAAATTTATTCCTGAGTGTTTGCAAACACTACATGCTCAATATTTTCTCCTAACTACTTCTATTTCTATGGATTACCTTATTTCCTACTGATTAGGTTTGCACTTTTTGAGGTAAGGCATGTTTAGAAATCTTTGGGGAACACATCAATTATTTTAGGGAGCTTTTAAGCTTCAAATCCTATAAGAATTTGTTAGGAATTCCCTTTTATATATTTCGGAAAACAGAGGTATTAGTAAAAAAATAGTTGCCTATGAATTATCTTGGTCGGCCCATGCAATGGAAGATGTACATTATGAATAACATCTATTCTAGTGTATGGTAGGAAAGAAATATGCATATATGTACTTAAATGAGGTTTCACACCTTGTTGGACTAAGGAAAAAATGTTTTAATCTAATACAAACAATCCTCAAAGTTGATTCAAGTAAAATATGAGAAAATGTATTATGACGATCAACAAAATTTGATATCATTGTTTTTGAAATTTGTCTTTTCTAATACTAAAGACTGTCGACCTTTTAAAATAGTCTAAAAACTCATACATAGCAATATTATGTCTTCCAAAGTTGTATATGTACATTTTATGAGATTTGATTTTCCATTCTCATTTTCCCGCCTTTCTTTTCTATAATCTTTATTACTTCTATACGTAAGAGCACATCTTTACATATAATGAGCATGCTAAATTGGTTAAAATAAAGAAATTATCTAAACAAATAGATATCATGTTTGATTTGGTTAGAATGAATACATGAAGAATTCAAAACTATTTAAATTACTTCACTTTTATGTGTCTTCTACAAGTCAACTTGAACTGACTCAATATTTCATTGGGCAAATTTGATATAATAAAACTATTATTAAAATTTTTAAACTAAATTATTTAAAATAGAATTATTATTATTATTATTATTAATATCAATATCTATTTTAGGAAATTATCTAATGATTTATGCGGCTATACAAGGTTTGTTCGGGTGCATTCGTTTTGTTGGATTAAAATGCATTAGTTGATTAATAGGTCAAATGGTTACACAAAAAATCAACTTTTATAGTTAAGAATGCATTGAAGGCCGTAATTAAAAATATAAATTCCTATAATTAGCAAACAAATCTAACCACAAAATGCTTTTAGAAAAATAAAACATAGAAAGTTAAACTAATCTCTCTCACTCTATATAAGACAATCAATTATCCATTTCCTTCTCATCAAATCCCAAACCAATTTCCGTTAACAAAACTCATCCCGATTCATAGTAGGCGGTCCTGTGGATCGGATACTGGTGGTATAAACAAAAAAAAAACTCATCAAATTATCAATAGCAATGGCTTTCTCCAAATCCTTCATTTTTTCTTTACTTGTTGTTGTGACAATGACAAGCATGAACATTGAAGCTCGTCATCTTCTACAAACAACCACATTTCCACATACTACAATTCCAACTTTACCAAAACCATCTTTGACAGATTTGGATGTATTGCCATCATTGCCTAAAGGAAGTCTTCCACCATTGTACACTTCGATCCCATCTCTTCCAAAGCACATCATGCCATTTCCCTTTCCTTCGACTGATCTAACTATTGATGTTCCACCAGTGTCCGCTCCAGCTACTGCTCCAGTTTCTGATACTCCCAAATCACCCCCTTCATTTTTCTCCTTCTTCCCATTTTTCTCCAAGACTCCTTCCACCTTTAACCCTTAAACATTCATTTACAAGTTGCATTATGTAATCAGATAAACATATGCAGTATAGTACATACATTACCTCATTCTTTTCATCGAGTGTGGGGAAATTGCATGAGGTTATGATGATAGTTTTTTTTTGTATTAATTATAATGGTTAAGAAATATAGTATGAATTACACCAAAATGGAAGTAAAGCATAATTATCGCTACTCCTTTTTGGATTATTCTTCTCCAAAACACTTTCAACCACTAATCCATAAACAATATATAGTAAAGACATTGCGTCATTTAATTTATCATGTGTGATGAAATTGAATGAGGTTATAATTATATTAGTATTTCTGTTGTATTAATTGTATGGTTCATTTAATTAATAATATTTTAAATATATTAATTTTATTAATTTAATCCTTAATTATTATTAAACATTTATTATGTTATTTTTTATCGTCTTAATACTGAGAATTAAATATGATAATTTTATGTACTTCTTGAACTGCAAAAAAAAATTCATTATATTAATATAATTTATAAACTACATTTAAAACAAGGTATTTTTTTGAAATTTAATTTAAAATTATTCATTAAAATTTTTTATTTTAATTTGTGTGAAAATAATAATAGATCTTAGTCAATGTTTTTTTAACCAAATAAAAATACATAAGATATTTAAAATCAAAATTGCTCAAATAAAAAATAAAACATAACTATATATTATAATAATTTTATATATTAAAAAATATATTTATAAAATTTGAAAATTAATGATTAATTATACCATATAAATTGTCATATCTTTTATTACATAAAATGGCAATATCTTTGAATAAAAATGGATAATATAGATAAAAATTGATTAAAGACAGAAAAATAAGACTTAAAAATCAAAGTGGGAGTCGAAACAGTAACTTCCAAGTCCTTAAAAAACTACTTTATCGTTGACTACTACATTTTTTTAATGAATTTCTTTTTCTTTAATTTATTTAATGGTTAATTCATTTCGAGGCCTAATATATAATCCATATAGGGGAGGCCCATGACAAATTCCTTACTTGCCTTGCCATTGAGTCGGACGTGCTTGTTGAAGCACCAAACAAAATATACAATTGATAGGTGGTAGAGGGATCATCAAGAGAAGCTAAGAACGTACCATATCAAATTGATCATTGAGACCTCTCAAAAATCATATAGAACATGTGATATCATGATGATGTCTAGCATTGCTGACACCCGTAGCACAAACACAAAAATGTGGAAAAGCACAAAGAGGTATAGGTAATTAAGCCTCAAGTTCTTCAAATAAAGTCTTGAGAGATGTAAAGAACTCAAACAAAAATTCCAATGTAATCACCTTAAGAGAACCATTATTTGAGTTAGTTTTGCACAGTTATGAAGACTTTTCTGTGGAGAAAATCCAGAAACATCTTCAAATCTAGGAGGAATAGAATGAAAGGGAGAAATCATAGTTTGTTGGTATTTCCAAAGCCAATTCTTCGACCGTCAAAAGAAATAAAGAAACACGATGGCATGAAAAGTCATCTTGGAACTAAAAAGGAACATAACAAGTTCAAGAATTTCGGTTGTCTGAAAGGTCTGAAAGTCAGTTGCTTTGGATGTGGAAAACATCAAAGATATGTTTGAGATTTCCTGCACAACAAGTCAAAAAATGAGATTAATACAGTTCATGAAAAAGATGATATAATCGCTATGGTAAGCAAAATAATGGCAATCAAAGGAAAAGTTTAACGATGGTGGTATGATTCATGTGCTACAGTGCATGTCTCTTATGACAAGCTTGCTTTTAAAAAAATTTCTGATGAAAATGATGGCCATTAAGTACAGATCGGAAATGAAGTACGATCTAAAGTTGTTGGAACCGAATCTATCAAACTCAACTTCACATCCAGAAAGAAAGTCACCCTTGCCAATGTGCCTCATGTCCCCGACATGAATACAAATCTTGTTGGTGGGGATTTGTTGGGAAAACCAAACATTAAATATGTATATGAATTGGGAAACTTATATTGACCCATAATGGTGTATT